AGGTCACTAACCACGCCAGTACTGAGCGACAAAATTTACCTCCTAGCCGGCTCTACCATTCCCCTTTAAAAAATTTAAAAAAAAAAAGAATCACAAACAAGCCTGTTTTTACGCTGCTGATGTATAAATCACGCACTACAGCAGCAAGTGATGGTTTGATAAAGACAAAAATGCAAACGCCAACAAGCTGTTCACTGCCCAGAAGCACGTGTTTCCCACGCTCCGATAATGCTTCGCGTAAACCATGCGCCCATGCACGCTGATTTGTTGTGCTGCACGTAACAAACGAGATGACAAAAATAGGCTATCAGTTTAATTCAGTGAGATTCAGAATTTTGTTAAGCAACTAAATCAGTCTCAAAAGATCAAAAATGGACGAGAAGTGAAAAATTCCTGCACAATTTGTTTCCCGTAAAAGCAGTAAGTGGATATGAGTTTTAGTGTAACGCCACCTGCCACGATCGGCAACAGAGGAGTCAAACGTCGATGAAAGATCAGAATGATCAGACAGCAAATAATATACTTACCTAGCACTTACAATATTTGAAGCATTGAGGTCAATGATTTCTTCCAAGCCAACAATATAAATATCCGCATCAAAATTCGCACTACCCGTTGCACCTGAATTAATGATCATAATTTTTGGAGCGTTGCGGCTACAGTTATCAATGGTAACTGCTAGACGGACAACCACGTAGGGACCTTGCAAAGGGACAGTATGCATACGGACCGCGCGAACATAAGCAGTTAAAAAGAGCACGGAACAGTTGCGTACACCACGTTGATGAATTCGAATAAAATCAGCAACACCAGAACTCCACGTCAAAAACCTATTGGTAATGGAACTCCTTATGAGGCAACAAGCGAGATTTATGAGAACCTTCACAGCTAAGAGCTTAGCTTTGTGCTCAGAAAGAGATTTAAGACAAAAATTTAAAACGCATATCCTTCCTTAAGCAGGGCACAGCCAAGCTGGATTTGTTGCATACTTCCTCTTTTCCGCTGTCTTCCCATATCCGCAAGCAACTAATAATTCCCTCGCGCCTGTCTTCATTTTTCACCACAAAAACTTCTGCACGAGAATGACCACTCGGGTGGTCTTCAGAAGACGATGTACACATATGATAGAAAAAAGAAATATAAATACATGTAAGTCAGAGTTCAAGGGCCTGACACTGCTGCAACTTAGCGTATGGATACAACTCTATCATTTTTAGTATCGGTGTAGAACTTAAATAGGGCCACAAATCACAATCAGTGTTTCAATTTTAACAGAGGACTATAGTACTCGGAAATAATTCAACTAATAGGACTTCGCTAACACCAGACAGTTGTTCTTAGAGTTGTTGACAGTCCTCTTTTCCAAGGGTTACTTGGGAAACACGCTGAAGACGATTTAACTCGCCAGTCTGCCAGCTAAAATTCAGTTTTGAAACGAATCCTAAAACGGCTGGTTTTTTCACTAGCGAATTCACGTCAGTGGCCGGAGCAGCAGTTAATTACTGGCACGCTAGGCCCAGCAACCGACTGCAAACAGACACGAACATACCAAGTATTTGTTCTGGGAAGAGCCAATCGGCAAGATTGGTTTGATTGCGAAAGGCAATGTCTGAGAAATTTTTGCCACCATTCACATTCCATGTGCCAACCCAAACAGTTAATGGAACGCTGTCCACCATTTCGTGCTTTCGCTCCGCCAATTCCTTCGCTACCGGCGGACATTCTGAAGAGATCCAAAAATTAATAAATAAACACCTGAAATAGAAAAAAAAAAACTCCCGCGAGCCACAAAGACACATACGATTTGTTACAACAGCATGCGTATATTATTTTTTAAGAGCACTGTGAGAGAGACAACGTGTAAGATCACAAAAGAAGCTCAGAATTAATAAAAAAGCACAATGAAATCGGTGTGGGCAAGCTGATTCAAGCTAAAAACACAGAATTCGCACAACTGCAAAACAAAATAAATGGTCACAGCTCCGACTATCGGTGTGAAGATGCGTTTTTTGCACAGTTCTCCGCAGGTTTTTGTGGCTAGCGACACTGTTTTTTCCGGAAGGTGCATCTAGCTAAAAAAATTGAGACTGGCTACTGCGACTGAGAGAAAACATTCCCTTAAAAATTCAGCTTTCTAGCTTTGCAGATTCACGAGTTAGCAGCTTATCTGCAAAAAATTTTCATGAGCAAAAAAACGCACATCTGGGAGCTGGATTTGAACGCATTAAGTTCCACGTGGACAGGGATCATCACTAAAAATTTCAGCCTTCTGGCTTCTCAGGCTTCCGAGTTAGTACCCCGCCCGTGAAAAAATTTCACAGGCCCGTACGTGGGAACCACGCATACCTGGGGGCTGGATTTAAACCTATTAAGTTCTATGTGGGCGGGGTGTATTCTCTCAACATTTCAGTTTTCTCACTTTTGTGGTTCCCGAGTTTAGCGGCTCACCCGCCAAAAATTTTGATGGGCCCATACATGGGGAGTGCATGAGTAAGAACGCCCATTTTGGAGATGAGGACCCGTATGTGCATATAGATTAAGCTCCCAAATTTTCAGCCTTGTAGCTTCTGTGGGTCTAAAGATGAAAAATCGGCACAGACGCACATACAGACACACAAACACAGACAACCTCCGGCAATATGCATTTTTGCACTGCACAGATGCAAAA